GGGTGTTTTACCCCCCCCCTTCCCCCCCCCTAAAAAGGGGGGGGGGGGGGCAGATAAACAACACCATCTCCCTTTACATGCATTGAACAAAATTGAAATTGTTTGTGAATGGACAAGGAAGGGGACAGGGGGTGTAAATGATCTTGCTTTGTACTAGAGCAGAAACTCTCAGTCACAGTGCTGGCATGAATTAAGCTGTTATTTCTACAGTAAGCAGCAACACTGCAGGCATAGGACACCAAGCATTTGAGACAACTGATTGCAAAAACTATTTTTTCCCCCCTTGAATCTCACTTTAAAAGAAGAATTATGAGATGAGTGATTTTCACTCAGCCTCATAATCTGAGCCGACCTGTGACAATAAAACTGTCACAGGTCGGCTCAGTAGATCGGGAAGTGAGCTAACACATACTGGTGCTCGCTCACTTCTCGATCCTGTGGCGGCAGGGAGCCGTGACAGGGGAGGGACTGGATTCCCCCCCTCCCCTGTCCAATCCTCCAGCGCTGACTGGCGGAACGGACGGGGGAGGGGGCGGGTACAGCTGGCTCTGCCTCTAGATAGGCAGAGCCAGCTGTCACTCACGCAGCTGAGTGGATCCAGACATAATTGTTGGGATCCGTTCCGGCTGTGGTGTCTCAGTATAGCGCGAGCTGTAGCTAGCGGTATACTGAGCTGTGGGTGACGGGAGGACGCTAGTTTGTCTCCTCCCGTTACCCTTAGGAGAACTATGTGGAAAAGCCTTGACCCCATAGTTCTCCTTTAATACCTTTACCATGCTCTGCACAGCTCCTGTGAGTTAAGAAAATACCCAAAACACCAGGTTAGGGAGCAGCGTGTGACTCGCTCCTGTTTCTCCCGACAGAGCTACTGTTGAAGCTTGCACAGTGTTTTCTGGCTCCCCATGTCCGAGTGGAAGGTTGGGGGGAATAAAGGAAATATGTTTTGCTGGGGGAAAAAAAGAGCTTAAAAAGCTGTAAATGGTTAGCTTGTCCTACATGAGAAAAACACAGGTTCACTTTAAGAAGTACAGCATAAATATCTTACCGATTAACTTCCTGCAGGTCACTGGTTTCCTGGTCAAGGGTATTTTCCATCTCATCTTGGTCCGGTTCCTCCAACTCTGCAGTCACATCTTGTTTCCGGTCTCTTCCCGATTTCATACCCAATGCAGATTTATTATTCTTTGCTGGAGTTCCCACAATATCATCGGTCTTGCCATTTGTTGCTTCTGTGATGTTCTTAAAAGCCTCCCTCTCAGATGCATCAAAGTTTGTTTCAATTTCTTCCTTTTCCTCAGCTATGGCATGGTCTTTGTTACTTTGTTTAGGACCCATATTATCTTCTTTCAAAATGTTGGTACGTCTTTTTTTCATTCCTCTTACAGAATTTTCCAAGTCAATATTGTCCTTAAATGCGGTCAGTAAAGATGAACTTATTTCCTCTAAAGCAACTTTCTCCAAAATGCTGATATCTGAGAGTCTATGCTTCTTTCTCTTTCTTCTTACAGAATCTTCCAATTCAATATGGTAATTTAACGTGCTCAGTGGAGATGGTTGTACATCCTCTAAAACATCTTCTTCTAGACTGCTGATCTCTGAGGGTCTATGCTTTTTTTTCTTTCTTCTTAAAGAATCTTCCAATTCAGTATCGTCATTTAACGTGGTCAGTGGAGATGGTTGTACATCCTCTAAAGCATCTTCTTCTAGACTGCTGATCTCTGAGGGTCTATGCTTTTTTTTCTTTCTTCTTACAGAATCTTCCAATTCAGTATTATCATTTAACGTGGTCAGTGGAGATGGTTGTACATCCTCTAAAGCATCTTCTTCTAGACTGCTGATCTCTGAGGGTCTATGCTTTTTTTTCTTTCTTTTTACAGAAGCTTCCAATTCAATATTGTCATTTAACGTGGTCAGTGGAGATGGTTGTACATCCTCTAAAGCATCTTCTTCTAGACTGCTGATCTCTGAGGGTCTATGCTTTTTTTTCTTTCTTCTTACAGAATCTTCCAATTCAGTATTATCATTTAACGTGGTCAGTGGAGATGGTTGTACATCTTCTAAAACATCTTCTTCTAGACTGCTGATCTCTGAGGGTCTATGCTTTTTTTTCTTTCTTCTTACAGAATCTTCCAATTCAATATGGTCATTTAACGTGATCAGTGGAGATGGTTGTACGTCTTCTAAAACATCTTCCTCAAGGCTTCTAGTCTCCGAGGGTCTATGCCTCTTTTTCTTTTTTCTTATAGATTCACTAAAGGGGGCTTCCTCTATGACAGACACTTCATCAAAGTGACCATCATAAAAATTTGGTTGGCCAGTATTATCTGCCTCCTCTACAGACACTTCTATTTCTTTCTTTTTCTTCCTCTTCTTAGGAGACTCCTGAGTGTTGGAATTACAGTCCCAGTTTGATGACTCCTGTTCTGAAGTGTCCTTTTGCTTTACATATTTGACAAAGCTGTTGTGGCTATAAGATGGTGAGAGGTTATCTGAGGAGCCAACTTCCATTAATGTCTCATCGTCTATAGTCCTATGTTTGTTTTTCTTCTTCTTCTTCTTCCCAGACCCTTCTAATTCGTTGTGTTCAGAATAAGAGCCATTATCCGAGAATGATATATCTCCTGCAAAGATTAGGGAGACATTTATTGCACAGCTCAAGCATTGTGAACCTCAAGGCTAACAATTCATCTTAATATGAAATCTCCAGTTAGTCTTACCGGTAATGGTGTTTCTAAGAATCTCCCACCCCGACTGTCTCTCAGTTGAGATTAAAGTAGAATACCTTCACCAGTGCACAAGGGGAAAAAACAAGACAACATATATCCAAGTAAGGGTGGGAAGTAGGCTTGTTGTCCTGGAAGATTCTTAAAAACACAGTTACCGGTAAGACTAACTGGAGATTTCTCCAATCATCTTCCAGGACAGCAACCTGAGAGGATAAGCAAGATAAAACACAAGCCTACCGTAGTTTGGGACCACTACTTGCAGGACTTTCCTGCCGAAGGCCAAATCTTATTGAGATAGGACTTCACAAGGGTGTCCTGATTCAACCATACAGCGGCCCTGCAGATCTGATTCACTGACGCGCTGGCCTTTTCTGCCCTGGAAGTTGCCAGAGACCTAGTAGAATGAGCTTTTAAGGGAGTTGTGATACTCATATCCTCCTTCCTGTATACTGTAGAGATGGCTTGCCTAATCCATCTAGCAATGGTAGCTTTAGAAGCCATGCTACCCTTCCTGCAACTACCAAATAAAACAAATAATTGACTTGATTTTCTAAAATCCTTAGTAACCTCTCGGTATCTTAGAAGACATCTTCTGAAATCCAGCGTATAAAATCTTTCCTCACCAGAAGGGGAATTTATCAAAACTGGAGTAGACAAAATCTGGAGCAGTTGCCCATAGTAACCAATCAGATTCTCTGTTTAGTTTGTTCAGTTAAGATTTAAAAATAAAAGAGAGAAGCTGATTGGTTGACATGCACAGCTGCTCCAGCCCGAGCCCATCACTAGTCGTGACGCCAAACTGGGCCCTGAGACAGAAGATCTGGTCTGAGGGGCAGAATCCATGGAGGCTAAATTCATCTTTGTAGTTTGGAAACCACATTCTTCTGGGCCACCATGGAGCAATCAAATTGAGTTTGTAAACTGACCGACTTAACCTCTGAATAACTAGAGGGAGAAGAAAAAGAGGAGAAAAGGCATATCCTAGGGAGAAGTCCCAATCTTGTGACAGGGCATCCACCCAGCTGGGTGTAACAACTCTCTTAGGTTGGAGAAATTATTCATTAGCTCCGGGGCCCAAGACCCCTGAGCCTGCTACCCTTGAGAATGAGCTCCCCACCCCCATGAGCTTGCATCTGTTGTGACTTTTATGGGGGTCTGCTAATTCCAAAGTCTGCCTTTTGACAATGTTAGTGGATTTAACCACCAGGTTATGGATTGACGTAAATCAGTAGGCAAAGTGACCTTTTTCTCCAAAGATTCTTTCCGACGATCCCAAGTTCAGCAATACTTCCTTCTCCGAAGGGGCGAACAAGAGGATGTCGTCTAAATAAGGAATTAGGGAAATCTTTCGAATGTGGGAGGGTTACTACCTCTGCAAGAATCTTCGTAAAAATTCTTGGAGCTGCAGAGAGTCCAAAGGGCAGGGCTCTGAACTGAAAATGAAGGAACCCCCCCCCCAATTCAGAGATGATTTGAGGCTCTACAGTTGTGTGATACACAAAATCAGATACAATTCAGAGATGATTTGAGGTACTCAAATGCATTTTTAAGGTTTAACTCCAGCGTTTAGTGTCACTAAGTTATACCGCATATAACCAGTGACATACCTAGGTAGGGTGGGATGCTCTAGGAACAGCCATCTGCAGTGTAGTCTGCCGTTGCAGAGCCAAAGCCAAATGCAATAACTGTGTGCAGTATTATTGGGCCGCAGCCATCCCATCCAGACCTGTCAGACTGGGACATTCACATACAAGGACAGCTCACCTACACTACTAATGTCTGCTGTTATTTTCCAGAGAGGTAGCTGTGGAAGTCTTTCACTAGTCATGTGATCTGTCAGGACCGTGAAACAAGTGAGTAAGGGAAGACTTTCTCTACCCTGAACAAGTGGCAGTGGAGACTTGGGCAGAGTTTACTCATTTGCAGTGGATTTGTAGTGGTGGAACTACAAATCCCATGAGGCATTGCAAGATTCTCGCAGCCACAGACATGACTCCCGGAGAGAGATGCATCATGGGATTTGTAGTTTCACCACAGCTAGAGGGCCGGAGTCTGGCTACCCCTGATCTAAGGTCTGGTACACTACAATAAATTACATTTTAGGTTTGGATATATGTTGAACATAAAAGGTCATCTTCTGAAAGTTCATAGAGTACGGTACATGGTCCCAGCTAGACTCGCCCGTATATATACCCTAATTCATCAGGAGACTGTTACCGGGGTTGCCGGGAACCTGGCGATATGATTCACATCTGGTGGCGATGCCCCATTGCTACCCGATTTTGGATCAGAATATGTAGACTACTCACTGCCTTGTTCCACAAGCATGTCCCTAGAAACCTTCAACATGCTCTTTTCTACTTGCCCATCCCGGAACTGCATAACTCGCAACGGGCGCTATCACATTTTATTTTCCTTGCAGCTAAGCTCACCCTGGCGGGCAACTGGAAAAGGCAACAAATCACATATATGGAGTTCACTCGTAGGTTAGATAACATAATGTTAAATGAAAGGCTGACTAGTATCCTGGAAGATTCACAAGCCAAGTTCCTACTCATCTGGGAACCTTGGATCCACCACCAACACCCTAATATGGATCCAACCAGCTTTAGGGGTATATAGACACGCACAATGATATAGGGCCAGGAAGGATAATGGGAAGGTGGTGAATTGGTCCTGCTGTATAAGAACTGGTCGGTGGTCCGACATGGAGTTCCCCGTTTATTCAAAAATGATCAATAATACTGACGTTGACCCTCCCCCCCACTCTACCCTATTATGTCTTCCCCTTCCCTACTGCGTTGATCACCCTTTTCTGACAATCCATAATACCTCTGTCGACGTCCCCTATTAGGCGATGACACCCATTCTGCTTTGATCCGCCTAGTACACAGAGGTTAAAGGTGCTAAGAGGAGCAGGAATGTAACACTTGAAAACACTTTTGTATAACAACCTTTGTATATCTGTTACTCACCTCCATGAGATTGTTTCCGTGGAAATGTCAGAACGTTTTATATTAATGTACCACTGTAAAACTTTAATAAAAATATTGCAACGAAAGTTCATAGAGTACTTTCTACATTCTGGATTTCACCATCTACTCCCAGAAAATTACCATCTGTCCATTTCTTTTTTTCTTAGTCTATTGCACATTAACATTACAAACATAGCAAATATTACCTGTTGTCCTTTTCTTCTTCTTTTTAACATGATGATCTACAGTCACTGAGTCAGACATTTTTAGAAAAGCGTGTCTTAAAAATGTTCCTCCAAGAGCTCACAAAAAATGGATGGGGACTCTGAATGAACCTAAAAAACAAAATACATTTTATTTATAGACAGGCAATTGTACCTACAGTTTGGACGCTACTGATATTATGAGCAACATAAAATCCAAGTCACGCTCTAAATGAGTCAAAACTAAACATCTCGTGGCCGATTCTAGGGATGCACCAATACCAGTATTGCTGCCGATACTGGGAATTTTCATGCCCAGATACCAAAAACCGATATCGGTGCTTTATAGTGACATTAAAGGATAATTTTTTTCCCCTCCCCCCAATGTTAATGTCAGCACTTACCTTAAATGATGCCTCTTAATCCGATCTTCCTTTTCCTGATGTTTTTATCTGTCCCTCCAGTGGTGCGGCGGGTCTCCGATCCAGCGCCGACTCCTCTCTGCTTGCTGGCACTTCCGATCCAGCAGTGTCTGCATGCGGGTGCACGCGTCCATAGACTTACCTTGCGTCTCTGCTCGTCTCCCGGCCAAGAATCCGAACTGCGCATGCGCCCGCCCCAAGATGCTTTGCGGCCGCCCGAACAGTTTCGGTTTCTCGAGCGGGAGCACGCAGCGAAAACAAGGTAAGTTAAAACCGCTGTTAAAGCAGAGTTTTTAAAAAAAACAAAAAAAACTTTTTGCATATATCTACTGCTGGAAAGCAGTAGATATAGGCAAAAAAAAAAAAGGAGGGTTTAGAACCCCTTTACATTTTCAGATTGAAGAGGCTGTCTTAGGTCCCACACTTGCTGGCGACCTCGCAGCAGCCTTCTTGGGAACCATGCAGTACCTGTTTACAGCACCTCCACCGCCCTGCATATCTTCTGCTCCCGAGACCCTCTGCCCCGAGACATCAGGTCCTTAAAAGGAGAACTATGAGGTGAGTGAAAATCACTCATCCATACCGTCGCTCGCTCACTTCTCGATCATCTCCCTGCAGAGAGCGTTGAGTGTCAGTCACGGCTCCCTGCAGGGATTCCCCCCCTCCCTGCTCCGATCCTCCAGTGCTGACTGGGGGAGGGGGCGGGTACAGCTGGCTCTGCCTCTAGATAGGCAGAGCCAGCTGTCACTCACGCAGCTGGGTGGATCTCGACAGTAATTTCGGGACCCGTCCCAGCTCCTCCCCCATCCGTTCCGCCAGTCAGCGCTGGAGGATCGGACAGGGTAGGGGGGGAATCCCTGCAGGGAGCCATGAGTGACAGTCACGGCTCTCTGCAGGCACATGATCGTCGAGAAGTGAGCGAGCGACGGTATGTGTTAGCTCACTTCCCGATCTATTGAGCCGACGTGTGACAGTTTAATTGTCACAGGTCGGCTCGAACTATGAGGATGAGTGAAAATCACTCACCTCATAGTTCTCCTTTAATTAAAAAAATTGGCCAACTAACCGATTATGAAAATCATAATTAGTTGCAGCCGTAGTAGACGGTCATTACTAAACATTTCTAAAGGTGTGTTTCTTGTTATTTGAACGAAATGAGTAAAAGTCCACTTTAGAGCCGGTGCACACCTAGGCGGCACCTCACCGCGTGGCAATGTTGCGCGATTCTGTGCAGTCAGAAGTCACCTAGGTTTACACCGATCGGACTGTGGGTGCCTTTATTTTCTAATGGCACACCAGACGCGACGCGATTCCGCCCGTGCTTCCGAACACGATCGCGGCTAAAACAGCCACGCAGTACATGTACCTTTTTTCTGCGATTGCCGCGCGGATGTCACCCCCATTGAAATCAATGGGGCAGCGCGGCAATCGAACCCGGATCGCGTAGGTCTGCACAGGGCCTTAAGAACCTGTCACAAGTGTATCCTAGTGGGGCGGGATTTATATTATAAAACATATGCACGCTAAGGGCATGTTCACCTGAATGCCTTGTGGTAACATGGACTAGCAGCCCAATGCACCTAGGTAGCACAGCACTATGCATTTTAGCGACACATGGATCCATCAGCTGCCCATTTGCGTTTTTGGCACCACAATACCATGCGTTGCGGTACAGTTGAAAAAAGTCGTTCACATTGGGGGCTGGAGGTGCGTTTGGGGTGCCAATCAAATGAAAGGCAACCTTCCACGCACTGTTAACGTCCAGCCCTGGTGTGAATGAGCCCTTAAACACAGATACCGGCACGACTGTTCAGCAGTGACAACCACATGTAGACACGTTTATTAGAATCTAGAACATCAGCCAACTAGACATTTCCGACTTATATATATATATATATATATATAATTATATATCGCAGCGGTCAGAGGAACTATAAGTGACAGCTCGGTGTGGGGCACATGTCTGGACATGACCAGCAGCTGCAACGCTCCAGCACATCCACCGAAACCTTTCAGAACTTCCGCCCGGCCCGTTATCATCCTCCAAATTCCCATTCCCGCCATTACCTTCCTTCACCGACACAGCAGACACATATCCACAGCATCCCACGTGGTCAATCCTCTCCCGGAAGTGAGCACCGCATGTATGAAACTTCGCACATCGTTCCCGTGCCGCTGGTTTTTTTTTTGTACGAGCTTTATTGACAACAAAACTAGGAGCAAACTGCCAACAGTTTCCCATTCTTGACAACATAGCGCTTTTAGGAGCAATGATATCTACCTGTAACTGAGTTTATAGGTAGTTGCCAACTTCCCCTGATTGCCAGGGGAAATCACTTTCGAAAGTGATTTTTGTATGCAAACATTTTTATATATTTACACACCATATAGGGGGGCTATTTATTGACTTTCCGCAGGGTCCTTCGCCCTGCAAATTTTTATGAACGGTCGTTCTGTGTGGATATATGCCAAATGAACGCTCTTTATTCATGTATTTATTTATTTTGCATGGAAATACATTGCCTTGTCACCACACAAATCATGACACACGTTAGCGTCAATGTGCTTTGAGGTGTGTTATGACTCGTGTTAATGTGCAGCGTAAAGCGCATTGTAACGCACATTAAAATACATGGCACGATGCACATTTTGATGCGTTTCATTGATTTGGAAGGAAAGCACAGGGAAAAATGCATCACAATACAATGGTGTGCATGGCCTCCAATACATTTCACAATAGATTTGCCAAGCTCCTCTTCATACTGCACACATAGGGCATGTGGCTAGTCATTCCTATGGGTAAGCTGCACTCAGAGCCAACACTGGAGGCCGCAATGAGCATGGCTACCCATAGGAATGAAAAGATCTGCGGCATACGTGTACAGTATGAAGAGGAGCCATCCAGATTTTGTCACTGGAACAAAGACAAAGGTGAGTATAGGATTAGGATTCCTCTACTCAGCATCGTGGGGGCCTTTATTAAAGGTGAAGGTATCCTATGAAGCGTATCTACAGACACAAATGTTGTAGGTTTGGACATCATGATTTACATGACCTACTGAAGAGATTCGCCTTCACTATTTGTTCCAGTGACCGTTGTCACTGCAAGTGAGGGAAAATACAATGACTTGCATTGTCTCTGGCACCTAAGTGCATTTTCAGGGCTCACTTTCAGAAGTACATTTCTTGTCCTGTAGACACAAGTGGATGGACCGGGGTCCGACATCCGAGACCTCCCGTGTTTGTTTATAACCCGCTCTTGGCTGGCTTTCACAGTAAAGCCCCATTGAGTTCTGGCTGGGAGACACAGAGAGACAAACCTTGTAGACCTATATTGGGCTCCACTGCCCTGATGCAACAGAGAGGGGACTTCATCATGAAATGTAGACAAACACGGCAGTCCCAGGCACTGAATCTCAGTACATATGGGAGGTAGGATCTGTTATGTCAAGAGAGGGGGCCAGAAAGAATAAGCGCACTTTGTCTAAAAATGCACTTATTTTTTAAGGAGAAATCTCCCAATGGGAACATTTGTTTCAGTGACAACTGTCTAAGATAAACCTTCTTTCACATCCAGTCTCTACAAGACAAGAAATGAAGGAAAATTACCTCAATGGGTCACAGATGACAAAAAACGTGACAGAAGTATCCATTTCCAACTCTATCCAAAACTAACAAAAAAAAGTTAGCTTTAAATACTCATTACTATTAGTGACGACCTAATCACCCCCTTATTCGGATCGAATTCAAACTTTCGAACATGAAAAAAGTTTGAATTCGAACTCAATGTAAGTCTATGGGGGTAGAACTTTGAAAAGCAATTGACCCCATTTTAAAGTCTTATTTGCAAGTTAATGGCCATTAAAAAGGGTATGTGGATTTGGGTACTACCCTGGGGGACATGAATCGATGAAAAAAACACTTTTTAATAAATACCGTTTTCTAGGGGAGCAGTGATTTTAACATCACTTAAAGGGAAACAATAAAAAAGAACAATTGCTTTAAATAACGTGCCTGGTGGGGTCCCCTTAAACTGCCTGTAAAGTGGCACATCTGTCCAACTTATAGAACCTGCTGCAGCAAAAATGAAATTTTTAAAGAAAAAAATTACATTTAAAAAGAAAAAGGGTGCGGTTCCACCTCCCAAACAATACATGACCCTATAGGTCTGGTAGGAATATTAGGATGAACCCCATTTTAAAAAAAACGAAAAACAAAACCGTGGGGTTCCCCCCAGAAGTCCTACCAGACTCATAAGGTCTGGTAGGAATTTTAGGAGGGAACCCATGTAAAAAAAAAAGTGTGTGGAGTTCCCCTTTAAAGTCATACCAGGCCCTTAAGGTCTGGTAGGAATTTTAAGGAGGAACCCCACCCCAAAAAATGGGGGAAAAAAGACCTTTCCACTCCCCC